GTAATATTTCATTCATTTTATTTATAAAAGCCCTAAAGAGTAATTTACCTAATTCTACAACATTATTTAAAAAATATATATATATTTCTTTCTTATAAAAATGTGTGTCCGTAAATCTTGCGTCAACTCTGTTACCGTACCATACTTTGCCTTTAAATTAGTGGAATTATCTCCCACAACTATGTAAGATACAGGAAATGATGTCACTTTCCTCTCTGTTAAGATCTGAAGCACTGAAAAGTCTATGTGCTCTCTCTAAGAAAATATTTAAATCTAAAAGTTCTTACACCAAAAGTTATTTTATAAAGTGTCAAATCTGTTACCACAATATCAAAAGGAAAACAGATTTTTTCATTGATCACACTTTGTGTTATTTAAAAGCCTTTTAATCATGATTTCAATAGTGCCATGTGCTCTTAGCATTTATGCTAGCAAGTGGAGTTTTTGGCAAAAAATTAAGAAAATAGTAAATTCTGTTACTGTCAAACTCCGTTACCAAGGTAGAGTAACAATGCGGTAACATAATTGACAGTCCATTGGACAATTGTCAATTCTGTTACTTTATAATTCTGTTACTTAAAGGGTCAACTCTGTTTATGAACTATTTTCACAAAAAACAATACATTTGTTGTTTAAAATCCTAATAAACATTATTGATTTATTTATAATAACTTTATTTCATAATATTACTATTTCAATAATACATTTTGAATATTTCAATAATACATTTTCAGATGAAAAATATTTGCTCCAAGTGGACGGTTCTGTGAAGACATAGGTATTTTTTATTATTATTTTAAAGGTATGCATGGGTGAAATATTATCTCAGTTTCAAGAGTAAGGGCTGTTTGTCTAATGAAACAAGAAGGATTTTTCCTGTTATGATTTATTGTTATTTCTACACATTGGCTAATTTGTCCGTAACAGAGTTGAAAAAACAATACCATAAAGACATCTGTTTTTTCATTAAAAGTAAAACAAAAGGAAGTAACCTGTGTTTGGCAAGCACTGAATTATTAAAATTAAATATGTTTTCAATAAGAAAATCAAAAAAAAATCTGTAAGTGAAAAGTTTTTTTTCTTAACTTTCTGTAATGCCAAATATATCTCCAATTATAGAATCACCCATATGTCTCTGTACAATCCCAATATATGCCTCCACGTCAATGGTACCTTCGCACATATACAAGTCACCCATGCTGTTTGCACTGATGCACCCCCATACCATGACAGACGTTTGCTTTTGCACCTGTCGCTGATTTAAGTCTGGACGGTCCCTTTTGTCTTTGAGACTAACAATTTTATGTCCTTTTCCCCCCAAAACAAGCTGAAATGTGGACTCATCTGACCACAGCACACATTTCCATTGTCTTTTGGACAATCTAAGATGAGCTCGGACCCAAAGAACTCGCTGGCGTCTCTGTCTAGAATTGATGTATAGATTACTCCTTGTGCAACAGAGATTCAAGTTGCATTTCTTGTTGCAGATGCAGACTGTGAACAGTTATCCATAGTACTCCTCAGCCCATGTAGCTATATTTCACACAGCAACATGAAGGTTTCTCAGGCAATGCCATCTGAGGGCTTAAAGATCACACACATTCAACTGAGGTGTCCTGCCTTGCCCTACATGTACTGAGATTTCTCTGGATTCCCTGAATCTTTTCACAAAATTATGTATGGTAATTGGTGAAAGACCTAACTTCTTTGCAAATTTGCATTGAGAGATGTAATTTTTGATTTGTCTGGCAATTTTCTCATGAAATTTGGCACCAAGTGGTGAGCCACGATCAAGCTTTGCTGGCAAAGACAGGATGCTCTGTATAAACCCAATCCTGATACCCTGACGTATTATTACCAATTATCCTGATTTTAAAACAGTTTAACTCAGATATTCTATAACCTTTTCATTTTTATTATGCCTCTGTCCCAACTTTTGTGGAGTATGTTGCAGCCATCAAAAAATCATTGGAAATCTTTTAATTGTACCTTTGTCAATTTAATGAAGGTTAAAGACAGTTTACAAACCATAGATTCTTGATTTTACTGCATTTTAAAAAAACATTCCAACTTTTTTGGAATTGGGGTTGTACATGACCACCACCCTCTTGAGGTGACAGAAGAAGTTGTAAGTCTGTTTAAAAATATAAAGGATTAATAGGACAAAAAAAAACACATTTGAGATAGAAAAATCAACATTTTACTTTGGGGATATAATTCAGTTTACAATAAGGTTTATGTATGTTAATTGACAGAAATTGATTTATTCTGAATCAGCAGATTCTTTCAAAGTGTCATCTCTGAGTTAGGGAGGGTTGCAAAAAAAATGTTTCACTTCATTGTAATATCAAACAAATGCATATACAAAATGTAAAACATCAATGTTCTCTATTGTTAATCTACTGTTAAAACACACACCGGTAGGTGATTATGTTGTAAAAACAGGGCTTTTTGTACTTGACATTATTTTACACAATAGAGAGATTTCAAGAGAAGTTGTAGATTTCAAAACAACATCGATTTGTATCAGATAAATGTTGAAAAATTTGATAAAAAGTCAAAATAAACTGAGCAGTGTTACAAACCTCCCCTGTCTCTCCATCTTAATCGTGAAAACAGAAAAATTGCACAGCCTATCAAGCCATCTTGAATTCAAAACCATAATAAAAGTTAATTTCACTTACACAACAACATCCAGTGAAATCAAACTAAATTAAAGAAATAACACAACACATGTAAAATGTGCAATATGCAGGAAGACTCAGTGCAGTAGGTTTCAGTGTTTCAGTGTCTTCACTTCCGCACCTGCGCACAGGAGGGTTTGATACGTGACTGGAGAAGTTACAGAAGCATGTAATAAATGAAACCAACCAAATGACTTCCTTATTGTTTTACTGCAGAGCTACAGCACAGTATAAATAGCACTTATTTTGTGATGCAGTAAAATTTTATTGCAGCTAAAGTACACATATGGTGTTCTACAGTGGGATGGGCTACTTTTAATGTATACAACTGCTTACCTGACTTCCATAGGGAGGTGGAGGAGCCCTTGACTTCCCTCCATGTTTTACATCTGCATACTCTGTACTAAATTCACTCTTATTCCCCAGATTCACTCTCTCTCCACTAGCCTTCTGGAAATGGCTAATGTCTGCATAGTTCAAGTCCTACAAACAGTCATTTGTTTTTGTTAAATTAAAATCTCAATGTCACAATGCATTTACAATGCTGTGAAAATGCATTTGCCCCCACCCTGATTTCTTCTGTTTTTGTGTATATTTCATGCTAAATAGTTTTAGATCTTCAATAAAATAAAACAAAGGAAACATACGTAAACACATTCATTATTTATTTTTTAAAGGGGTCATATGATGCAATTTCAATTTGTTCTTTCTCTTTGGAGTGTTACAAGTTGTTGGTGCATAAAGAAGATCTGTAAAGTTGCAAAGACTAAAGTCTCAAATCCAAAGAGATATTCTTTATAAAAGTTAAGAGTCAACCACGCCTACCTAAAACTGCTTGTTCTAACACATCCCCCACATGTCTACGTCACGATGTGGGAAGATTTGCATAATGCCGCCCAAATGTTCACGCAAAGAAAGAAGGCATAACTTTTATTCTCGCTGTAGTATTGTTGTTGCCGCCGCCATGTCGTGAAGACGCTGTGTTTTGTTGTGAAAGTGACACTACTTTGGTTGGCCTTCCAAAAGAGGACGATATACGCTTTGTCATGCCTGGAGCTGATCCGTGCTGGATAGCTGGCCAATCAGAGCACACCTCGCTTTTCAGACCGATGAGCTTTGTAAAAATCTACGTGTTTCAGAAAGGCGGGGCATAGAGGAGAAACAATAATGTACAGTATGTGGAAAATAATGTGTTTTTTGAACCTTAAACTGCATAAACACATTTCATTACACCAAATACACAAAATAATGTTCTTTTTAGCAGCATCTGCAGCATATGACCCCTTTAACAACTGCAACCAAATGCTACCAATCTTTCACAGCACTGTGGTGGAATTTGGGTCCACTCTTCTTTGCAGAACTGCTTTAGTTCAGCCACATTGGAGGGTTTTTGAGTATGAACTGTCTGTTTAAGGCATCTGGGTTCAAGTCAGGACTACACCACTCCAAAACTTTCTTTTTTTTCTTTTTTTAGCCATTCAGAGGTGGACTTACTCCTATGCTTTGGATCGTTGTCTTGCTGTTTAATCCAGCTGCACTTGAGCTTCAACATTCAGACTGAAGACTTGTTTAGGATTTTCTGGTAGGGAGCAGAATTCATGTTTCCCTCATGTTCTCCACGCCAACACACTGCCACCACAACACTTGACCATAGGGGTGATGTTCTTTTTGTGTAATTCAGTGTTTGAGTTACGCCAGATGTAACAAGACCCTTGTCTTCCAAACAGTTCCACTTTTGACCCATCACTCAACAAAACATTCTCTCAAATGGTTTGAGGATCATCAAGGTGTGTTTCAATAAGCCTTAAAGTTCTTCTGGGTTAGCAGTGGTTTTTGTCTCATCACTCCTCCATGGATGCCATTTTTGGCCAGTGTCTTTCAGATAGTGGATTCATGAACAGTGACCTTTATTGATGCAAGAGAGGCCTGCAGTTTCTTCGATGTTGTCCTCTGGGCTTTTGTAAAAAAAAAAAATATATATATATTTTTTTTTTATTATTTTTTTTTTTTACTTTTTTTGCTGTGCTCTTGGAGGTTGGCCACTTCTAGGAACGTTCGCTACTGTGCCAAGTTTTTTCCATTTGGAGATAATGGCTCACACTGTGGCTCCTTGGAATCCATGAGCCTTTAAAATAGCTTCGTAACCTTTCCCAGACTGATGTATTTCAATTACCTTCTTCCTCATAATTTCTGGAAATTCTTTCACCTTTGGCATAGTGTGTTACTGGGTAAGACCTTTTAACCAACTTCATACAGCTGAAAAAGTTGTATTTAAGTGCTGATTTACTTGAACAGGACTGGCAATAATCAGGCCTGGTTGCATCTAGAACCAAATTATGAATGCAGTTTCATAGATTTGGTAATTAGAAACAACAGGGGCAAATACATTTTCACACAAGCCCAGTTGGTATAAGATAATGTTTTTGCGACAATAAATAAAATTTGCATAAAAAACTATTTAAAAACTGTATTTTGTTGTTATCGAGGTTGCCTTTGTTTTATGTAATACTTTGTTTTCATTTTTGAAACAATTTATTATGAGCCATACGTAAAAACAGAAGAAATCAGAATGGGGTCAAACACTTTTTCACAGCACTGTAAATAAAAAATAAAAATAAAATCCCACTATTAAAATGTTTAATAAATCATAATGATTTAATGTCAATATTCATAGCTCATCCTCATAGCAAGTCTTTGTGCGGTAGTATGCGAAAGATTAAAGTCCATTTAAGCTGACTAAAAATATACTCATCCCTAATGCAATAAGCCATAAACTCTTTAATTACCTCTGAGGCTGAATAACTATTGCACCTTTCCAGTAAGTAGTTTGTAATGTCATTTGACATCAGATTTACAGTTTTAAATCCATTAATAAATGTAAGGCTGTGATGAGAAAACAAGAAATGAAAGTCACTCACAGGCTCCTGTCTGCTTTGTGCTGCTGTTTAAAGAAAGTAACACTCAATGAGTTTAATACTGAGAGAAATATGTACTGAATCATCTGTAATATGAATAGTTCATCTACAATCTATTATGGTATGTTCATTATCATGGTCAGTCTTGTGAAGTAAGTTGTTCTTTCAATCACATACTCATGTAGGCATTATGAATAAATAACAAACATACCTCCTCTTGCCGGTCCATTTTGTCGAAGGTTTATTTTTGAGCTGTAATGTAAAGACAATTTTGTTACAACTTTATCTTTACCACGTTTTTGTCTCACAAAAAGACAGCTTATGACAATTGTTTTACTGAAATATTTTTGTTATCACATAAATACTGACATATTTTCAGAGAAAGTCACTGTAATTGTGCATAATTCAGAAACTCAATTTTTACTCACATTTTCTTAGTTTTTATTAAATAGACAGTCAGACCACAAATGCCTGCAACTGCCACTAAAACCCCAATGACAATCCCAGCTATCGCCCCTGATGACAGCCCTCCTCCTCCTCCTCCTCCTCCTACTATGACAAAGGCACAGGAAACAACAAACTGACATCATGTACAGCATAAAATACTTATTTTAGGGCATTTTGCATAGTAAAATTACATAGTAAAAAGTTTACATAGTACATTCATTAGAAAGTTATTAGAAATTAGAAATGAATAATGCAATTAGAAAAATTGCAATGGTTATCAAATGTTTACAACAGGTTAGTTTTAATTGCTTACCTTTAACTAGTAAAGCATGTTTTTGTGTGGCGTTTCTCTTTGTGACACTATTCCAGGCTGTGCAGATGTATTCTCCACTGTGTGTGAAGTCAGTATAATCTATGATGAATGTGTCTGTGGTCACGTCAGTATCTGTTCCATTAATCTTCCAGCTGAATGAGGCAGCAGGTTTCGAATTTGCAGAGCAAGAGAGCGACACGCGAGCCCCTAAATCTACCACATCCTCACCCTTAATAGAAACTTCTTCTGGTCCATCTAGAGCACAGACAAGAGACTCACTGTTAGATGAGCAAACTGAGCACTGAAGAATGTCTGTATTTCATCAGGTTTGAGCTCAAATCATCTTGATGTTTGAATGTTTAACACTCACAGTTGATGATCAGGCTGAGT